TTCACTTCTGTTGATTCATTTGTTGTGAATGTTTCTCAGCTTTCAGGATGAGATTTAAACTTGAGCAGTTGTCCAAAAGTTAATGGGTTTATGGTTCTGGATGTAATAAAATTTAGCATGTCCTTTTCTGGTATGTGCTAAAACTCACTTCATGAGATAGACTAAGTAGCTGAAATTAGCCATTTTGAGATAGGCAAGAAGTAATTTTCATGTATTAGATAACTTCATCTGAGAAGAAGCTGGCGTACACCTTGAGTAGGTAAATGCATCAGTCAAGTTTGATTGATTGCATTCAACTTGGTGGAAATTGTGGAAGAAACTGCTTGTTACACAAGGAAACACTTCATTTGAAGAGACTGGAAAGGAACTGGGGTTGTTTTTTGCAGTGCCCATTCAGCCCTTCACAGTTGTCAGCGACTGCCTGATTGGGACAGGAAGAACTTCATTGCTGGAAGTACAGAAGAGAAAGTTCTGAAGCTCAGAGGCTTTAGAAGCTGTAACTAGAATGTAGCAGGTTGTCCTTAGTGGTAGCAGGTACCATGCTTTATTCACATGACATCTTTTGAGATCAGTGAATAACTTCATTCATTTGTCAGACTGGCACGGTTGTGAGGGGCTGTTGACCTTCCTAGTCCACTTCATGGCTACTGTCTTAAAATAATTGAGAATATCACGTAAGTACTCAGTTTTTGTGAGGACCTAAGGTGCTGTCTTCCTGTGGCAGGCATAAATGCAGCTTTTCCATGTTTGATACTGTATTGAGGATTATTTTCAGGGCTTGTAGGGATACAAAGGGAAGATAATGGAATAAATATGCCATGAATCATTACAGACTGTGGGTATTCCTGATTCTGCTTGTTATTTAATAAATACTGAGATTGGCCATGATTTGTGGAAAGCAGCATCTCCCCCTTAAAACTCATCTGTCTAATGAGAAAGTGGATTTGTTTCTCAGTGTCAGTGCAGTTTGACCTGCTTCCTCTGTTAACATTACTGTTTTATAAAGAGATCTTTCTCCTTTGGTCACTGTAGAGCACAACTCCTGTGTGCCATACACGAGGCTTCCTAGACTAAAGCTTTTTGGGTTTTTCTCCGCAGAGTTCCAGAAGATTGCCATGGCAACAGCAATAGGCTTTGCAATAATGGGATTTATTGGTTTCTTTGTCAAACTGATCCACATCCCCATCAACAATATCATTGTGTAAGTAAATATGATCATATTTACCTGTTTCAGTATATTTTACATTCATTTTTACCTGTTCAGTTTTAAACAGAGGATGTTAGTGAGCCCTGCAGGATCCATGTTGCTTTAGTACCTGTGCATTGCACATGTTAGTGTAATACGACAGGTATTACTTGATTCCAAGGACTGGATCAGGAAATCAGTTGTTAATTTAGCATGCTGCAAAATATTCACAGAATCCCAGTTTGGAAGGAACCTCAAGGATCACGTGGTCCAACCTTTCTTGTCAAAGCATGACCTAGACTAGATGTCCCAGTATCCTGTACAGCCAAATCTTAAAAGTGTCCAGCGTTGGGGAGTCCACCACTTCCCTGGGGAGATTGTTCCAATGGCTGATTATTCTCATTGTGAAAAATTTTCCTCTTGTATCCAATCGGAATGTCTCCAGGAGTAACTTGTGCCCATCATCCCTCATCTTTTCCACATGACTCCTTGGAAAAAGGGAGTGTCCATCTTCTTTGTAGCCACCCTTTAAATACTGAACACGGTGGTAAGGTCTCCCGAGCCTTCTTTTCTCAAGGCTGAACAAACCCAGTTCCCTCAGCCTTTCCTCATGGGGATTCCGAGTCCTCTGATCACAGAATGCTACGTATGTTTAAAACTTAGTTTTACATGTAACTGCATTCTGTAAAACACCTTTTGGAACAAATGTTGCAGCATGAAAAGCTTAATCTGTAAGTTGACCAGCAGCTGTGGTACTGACATATCAACACTGCCAGTTGGGTTGGAAAGGACCTTAAGATCATCTAATTTCAACCCCCTGCCATGGGCAAGGATGCCTCACACTAAACTCCTCGGATTCTCCAGAGCTGATGTCATCCCTTTTCTAGCACTGGAACAGGTTAAATACTACTCTGTGACATGTGGCTTGCTTAAAACTGTAAGAGTGGTCCTCTAGGCAAGGAGAAATGTTTGAAAATAAGAGATAAGCGGTAACTGTAGTAATATTTGTCCTAAACAAGGCAGTGGTGGGAGGATAAATTAGACTTCAGGTGGATCACTTGATCACACTTGATTAGTTGAAAATGATTACTTTGTTCTCTCAACAGAGGCGGCTGAATATTTATCATGAAGAACAAGATGTTGTGACGTTTGCTGCAAAGATTTCACAGCTTTAACTTGTTTTCTATTAAAGCAGCTCAGTTTGGGTTTTCAAACATTCTTGTCATGCCTCTTTTTGAAGTCTGTGTGATCATAACTGTCTAAATTACAGGCTTTTTTTTAATAGTAGTGGGTTTGGGTTTTTTGTTTGCTTGTTTTGTTACTTCTTTCAACCGTACTAGAATCACAGGGGTAGAAAAGAATCTTAGGACATCTCTAGTCCAACCTCCTCCTCAGATCTGGGTCAGCACTGCATTATGACAAGGTTGCTTAAGGCTTTGTCCAGTCAAGTATTGAAAGCCTTCAAGGGTGACAACTTTTATCAGAAGCTGTTCCAATGCTTAATTTACTGCTTAGTAAACAGCACTGTTACAGCAAAAGTAGACAACAAGAAAAAAGCATAACTGTATGCTCTCAAGTCGTGAGTTATGAGTCTGTTAACTGGAATTCTTGCTACTAGTTTCAGGAATCACCATCATAACCCGTAAGAACTTTCCCCATCTGGAAGTCCTGTTAGGTTATGTCATGCACGTGACAGGGAAAAAATTCCATCAAATGAAGAACTTGCATGATTCAGACAGCCAAACTTAGATGGTTACTAAGATGTACAGTTTGAGGTTAATTTAGTTGCCAGAGATACTAACAGTCCTTAAGTGAATCAGCTTGCTCGCAGTATTGGGTAAGCTGTACACCCATTTTGGATACTGGTTCTGTAAGACAACTGCACATAGAATTATAAAGAGATCTGCATTTGCTGACCTGGAGGTTTCTGTTACAACATGACTGAGTATTTTGGTTTTAAAAACTAAGTGTGCAAAACCTCTGGTAGATGCAATGTTCTTTCTCCTCAGATTGAAGAAAGCATACTGTAAGCATTTGGTATTTGCAGAAGTTACAATGCTGCTTCTACTACAGACTTTAAAAGCACTTAATACTTGGAAATCTGATATTGATAGTACAGTAAAACTAACTTCTTCAGTACACAAAGATACTTCATAAGTAGAAAAGTTCAATTATTAACCTCCCTGAAAAATCTTTACCAGCACCTACATATGTTACAAACCAGGACAGAAAATGAGATTAACTACCCTTAGTGTTATCACCTTTTAATATAGATATACTATGTGCACCTGTGTACTGTATTTCCTTTTGGCAGAAGGGGAAAAAGGATTTCAGTAATGGAATAAAACACTTTGTAAAGAGAGTCTGAACTAACCTGATAAGCAGCAGCAGTGTCTTTGCATCCACTCCTGTTTGTGATTGTACTGGGTAGCAGCTCATGTGTCTTCTGATTAAGTAGTGTGAGGTACCAGAATGAAGTACTCAATTGTTGCTACTAATGTTGATTTGATCTCAAATGACTTTTATTTCAGATCTCTTTTCCATTCGGTACATAAAATCAATGCCTGCTTATATCTCTTGGCACAACTTTACTGTCTTAAGTCTGTGAAATTTTGCAGTAATTTGAGTTGAATCAAATCAGAAAAGGCAACTGTAGCTGATTTTATATTTTGATAGACATTGTCCACAGCAAAGGCTTGTCCGTCTCAACGGTCACAATCCCGGAGTTGTCATAAGTGTTGGAAGTACTGACGAGCGTTCCAAACTTCAGCACCTGGTTAGCTATGAAAAAATAAGGGAGAGTGTTAGTGGTACTCTTGAAACAAATGCATTGATACAGATTTATTGTTGTAAAGGCTGCTGCTCCTGCAAAGAAGGAAAAAACAGCTGAGTAAATCTAACCCAGATAAACAACATCTAAAATAGCAATGTTAAATATTAATTAGAAGGCTTGTATGAGACTATCTATCTGATGACCTGTAGAGGGAATAAATTAATACTTAATCCCCAAATTAGCATTTTGAGTTCACAGCAGATTATTACAAGAGCAGATTGTTGAATGTCTCCCAAAGTTTCACATCTGGAAATCTGTATTCCATTAGCATCAGCTCAAGTACCAGTGCTAGACAAGGTATTTAAAGTAAAACAAAGCAGAGGATCTTACTCTAGTTCCAAATGTGGGATTTGCTTTAGCTCAGCAGCAAGCCTATAATCTCTTAAAATGAAAACTGTTCTAGAGCAGAGGCCAGTAGTTAATCATATAATCATGGAATGGTTTGGGTTGGAAGGGACCTTCATCCAGTTCCAACCCCCTGCCACGGGCAGGGACACCTTCCACTAAAGCAGGTTGCTCCAAGCTCCGTCCAACCTGGCCTTGAACACTGCCAGGGATGGGGCAGCCACAGCTTCTCTGGGCACCCTGTGCCAGCGCCTCAGCACCCGCACAGGGAAAATCTTCCTAATACCTGCTGTAAATTTCTCTGTCAGTTTAAAGCTATTCCCCCTTGTCCTATCACTACAGGTCCCATAATAAAGTCCCTCTCCAGCATTCTTTTAAGTTCCCTTTAGCTGGTAATTATTTCACAAGTATTTAACAAGTGCTATTATTCAGCAACTTTTACTTCGAAGTAACAAGTGGTATTATTCAGCAACTTTTACTTCGAAGTAAATGACTTGCATCTTCTACTGCATGCCTAGTGAGGTAGGTGTCCATGTGCGTTAGCAACCCAGTTTCATTACTTTAACAAATAGCTCATGTCAATTTTAGGACCGTTTAACCCAGTTAACAGTGCAGTTGCAATGACAGTTTTGAAGTATCTGTGAAGTTTTAAACAACCATTCTGTCTTAGTTTAGCTGACATGTTTTAAGGGTTTCATAGACTTCCTACAAGCTGAGACCAAAGATAAAAGCTGCCCCCAAACCAAAAAATGCAGTTCAACTTTCATCTTCCATTTCCTCCCTTTTGGAGGTAGCACTGCTTGCATTTTACAATCATACCAACTTCCCTAAAGGCACTTTTAAGACTAGTCAGTTCTGTGTTAGTCCTTGCTCATATATGGGTTCAGAGAATGAACTCAAAGACCACCCTTTGGTTTAGTCTGTAAAACAAGCCAAATGACAGGTCTTACTCATTGGTGCCAGAGTTACATTTCCATGGAGGATACAAGGAGAGCTGCCGCTGGGGAGAACTGTTCAGGCCAATCAGCAAGTCTGTTTGGCCTGTCAGAATTTCCAAATCATGCATTAATACTGAAGGAGGAATCTTCTGGCTTTGCTATCATGTGGCCCACTGCTAGTGGAGGTAAACAAGTAACTTAATAAAGATGAGGTAACACATGGGCAGTATTTCTAGTGTAAAAATACTGCCAAAATCCTGTGTTATGGCCAAGTTACAAATGTCTCCAGTCAGTATTAAGCAGGAAAGAAGCTTAGATAGTTTAAAATATTTTTTGACACACAAATGATCCATTTTTGGTTACTATATATTGAAATCTGAAAGTGGGAAGAGGGGAGGAAGAGCTTTGTGGATGCGCTTCTGTGTAAACTCACTCATTTAGTGTCATTTATTGCTTCGTGCTCAAGACTGTTAAAATAATTCTTAATGTTTCATTTTTGCCTATGAAATAATGGCTCTGCAGAAGGCAAGAATTAAGAACAACATGGCAGCATAATGAAACAAAACTCTAAAGCAGTATTTCTTCGTGCATAAAATTAAGTGAAAATGAGAGTCCTGCTTTGTGTTTTGCTTTAGATAAAAAGTCCTTGCCCACTAGATGGAGCCTGTTATCTTTTTCTACCAGATTTCTTCTCTGCAAGGATCACCGTTTCAACTGTTGAAGTGAAAAAATGCAGGAACTGTAAAACTACTGCTGATTCACGTGGCTCAAATGGAGTAATTCCAAGTACTTGGTTTCCCAACCAGCCAACATTTCATTGAATCATAGAATGGTTTGGACTGGAAAGGACCTTACAATCAGCTAGTTCCAATCCCCTGCCATGGGCAGGGATGTCTCGCACTAGACCATGTTGCCCTTTCACCTAACATCATTAAAAATGCATACTTTCTATTCAATCCATGAACAGTAATAAAGTGAAAAAGAGGTTTAAGCCAGTAAAGGAACTAAGAGGATGTACATACCTACTACTTCTAGGAAAACTTCCTGCTGTATCATGCATTATGATATAAAGTTTATAAGATCAAAGCCTGGGCAGTTTTATCAGTTCATATCTGATCCAGTCAAAGTGTGTTTAGTGATAATGGACTGTTGATGAGAGAAAGACTCAGCTCTTCCAATGTAGCTATACTCTCTTTCCTTACTCTCCATCCATAAAATCAGCATGTCTTGGTGGCACTGAGCCCAGGGGGCTCTGCCTTCAAGGAAAGCCATGGAGGTCAGGAGTGGTTACAGGAGAAGGTAACTAAGTCGTAGTTCTGTAGTGTGGTTTTGACGTCTGACAACTCTGAACTTGGGAACTAAAAGCAAATGCTATTCCTGCCTTTAGGGAAAAAAAACCCAACCAACCAAAAAACACCACACAAACCAAAGCAACCAACCAAATCTATTATAAGACAGCTTTTTATGGTGTGCCCTATGTTCTTATTAGTAATGAGTCTCATTTCTGTCTGATGGATTGCAACACATCACTCATTCAGACCTGAACATGGTCTTGGGCAGGGCTTATTTTTATTTTGATGTGGTAGTGGAGCAATGTTTGTCTAGCAGTTTTTGTTTTGTTTAGCAGGTGGTTGAGTCTGTCAGGGGTTTAGATGTTGGAAATAGAGACGAAATCTGAGGGGAGGCTCGTAGGTGAACTTCCCAAAGGAGCATAATCACATCATTATTTCCTAGACATCCTTTTTGCTAACCAATTTCTGTGTCAAAGGATGTTTCATTAACCCTAAGACTGCCTATTTCCACTATTTTATTGCTTGTCTTTTGATAGCTTTTTAATACACAATTCTAAGGAAGCCATGGGGAAAAATGTTAATCTTGGATGTAAGATTCTGAAAATTGATCAATCTTATGGTTGCCAGAACATTCGGAAACGTTACCAAAATGCATCGCATGAGTAATCAAGCTATATAAGAAAAATCAAGTAAAAAAGCCCAAACCTAAAATTGTATTTTAGAAACTCTTATCATATTTATACCTCTACCACGGTTGGGAGTTTTATTTTTCAGCTGACAGTACTTAAAATGAGAACTGAGCCTTGCTTGCAATGTGTTCACCACTGTGCTGCAGGCTTTCAGCCTGGAAACTGAAACATGGTGCAGACTAATTAGAACTAGATTGGGTCTCATCATGTTAGGTGCTGCAAAAATCCTGACTCTCAATATGAGGTTATTCCTCTTAATAACTGTATTCATGATCTAGTAGACTTATAAACATTATGACTTCATTGTACTATTTAGGATACTGAAAATCCAGCAAAGACATGTCAAGGTCTCATGTACCTCTTATAAGCTGCACTCAAGCAGGGCTTGAGGGGCATATAGACAGGAAAAACAACTTCTTTAACATATCATATATGGCAAAAGCAAATGATGTCATTAATTTGAAAGGCTTAACTGAACAGCAGGCCCTCTGGTTATTCCTACATCGATACCAAAAGCACAGTAAAATCTGGAAAGCTGAGAGAGGGAGGCTTTTAACTGCAGTATGTAATGTCATACGAGGTGCAAGTCCCTCTTTACCAAGGAGTATTGAAGGAAATGATTTTGGTGTGAGAATGGCTGAACAGTCACACCTCATGTCTGCTATATGAAGACATGAGGGCAAATGGAAACCTTTTGGAAAACCCCTGACTGCAACAGCATAGAAGTGTCTCCACTTCAGGGGATTTCACCAAGTCAGGGTCTTGCTACTGTTACTACGAATGACTGAGAACAAAACACTGTCATGATAACCATACAGATACCGCGACAGCTGTCCTATGCTTCCTTTTCTCAACTGTGTCTGTCAATTACTTTCTGAAATATATAAAGTCACACCTTGCTGAATCCCACCACTGAAAACAGAAATAGGTACAGGAATGCAAGCAGATTGTCACTGCTGGCATGGATGTTTGCAACATTAACGTAATTAATTATTAATTGGAAGCTGTATTATAATGAATGTAATCCTCTCCCCCACCCCCAGGCAAATGCTGCATCAAAAGAATAGAAAATTAAGATGAATAAGCTGAAACACAAGTCCAAGTGAAATACTGAACTGTCATTTGGTACCCTAATACAGTTGATCTAGAGAGAATTTCCCTGATGTTCTGTGTTGGGAGCAAAAATCTGCATTTAAATGGAGATGCATTAGTAACGCATGAGCTAGTACTTTGCAGGTCACCCTGTGTCTGCAGAACAGCAGCATTAATTTTGCTGTTTGAAAATAAAACTCAGATAGTTTATAGCCTGATTTTCCTTTCCTTCCTCCTAGTTTTACACTTGTGGTTAGACTGACTTCACTGGTGTTAATCTTGATGTACACTGAAGGATACAAAGGAAAAATAGGGTCCTTGATCTCTGTGTATTGGGAACTGCAAAGCCTGAAGTTGCAAATAACAGTAACGTACTATGAAACACAAACTGTTTTCAATACTGACACAACACAGAAGCACCATAAGGGCTTGCTGAGTCTGCTGGGAGGGGACAGGTTAGCCTGTCATGGCACAGATCCCCTCAGGGCCAGGGGGAGTTTTTAAGAAGCAGAGATTGCACTGGGCAGTATTTATAACTACTGTAATTTCGGTACCTGGTTTTGTGGCACAGAACAATGTTTTGTAATCTCAA